CCCTCCTCTTCTCTCTTTTCTTTTTTCTTTTTTGAATTACCCAATCTCAGGTATGCTGTTATAGGAACACAGACTAGACTAAGACAGCTTAGACTCCCAAATGCCCACAGGAAGTGTGGTTGGAAGGGTTAGAACTAAGTATGGAAGGACCTCCCTTGTTCATCATGCAGCACTGAGACCTTGTTCTAAACTTGAGCTGTCAGAGTGCCCAGCAGAGCCCCCTGACAGGAGCAGAAGCTCCTTGTGAGCCCGGCCAGGTTCCTATATCTTTCTTACCCATCCAGGAGACACAGATGATTGTTCCCCTGGACACAGTTTCTGGGCCTACAAACTCCCTGCCTTAGGTCGCACACACAGGGACACTTGCTTTTGTCTGAACTGCTATTTAAAGGGCCTCTCTGCAAGGGGGACCTTGGAGTCTCATCTGTGCTTGGACGCTTCCCAGCCGGGACCCTGAAAGCCACACAGTGGGACCCCCAGGCGCTGGAATTGGAGTTCCGGACGTTGAAGCTGGATCTGATGATGTAGCTTTCCTTCTGCACTTTCCCTTTCTTCTGTAGAATCATGTATGTGTCAATGGACAGTTCATGAACTTGGTTATATTCCTTATACGTTGGTGTTAAAGGCTTTTGTCCTTTGTGACTCTGAACCTCTAAATTAAGCTGCTACACAGACGGCAGTCTCTACTCACCTCGGCGTCACAAAGGAGATTTGTGAACAGGGTGCTTTTCTTTGAGAAATCAGAGCAGAAAGAGCTTCACCGCGTGGACCTTCCCCGAGGGGAAGATGCGCCTTTTCCTTGGTGGCCAGAGTGCAGCCTGTGAGAAATCGGAGGAGGACGAGAATGGTGACCCTATCCAGGTCAGATGGGCGAAGGGTGGGACAGAAGGACAGAGGATAAACGAGCACCAGAAAAGGAGCTGGCTGGGCTCCAGAGTAAATTATCTGTGTTGCAATGTCCGAATTTTGTTTGGACAGAGCAGGCATGAAATTATCAGAGTACAGCTAAAAAGCTGCTTTTAGAGTAGCCAAATACAAATATAAAACGTGTAGAGTGAAAGTTAATATGCAAAGAAATTGTTACTGGGGTGGAGTCCTCTCTAATGTATGGCAACCCTGATCAATTTCATGGAATTTTATGTTAATTTTAGGATTAGGGGGTATGAAATGCAGGCTAAATAAAGTTCATGCTGAAAATCAGACAATTTCTAACAGGAGTACACAGTGGTCATTGTACCTGTTCCTGAATACATAATGGATATAGGTACTTTAAGAAGACTGACCATTACTTACCTGATGGAAAATACTAGTTTGCTGTCCGAATGTTTAACGTTAGGAAAGTTTTAGTCGGGAAAGTTTACATGCCCCCACTTATCTTGCTTGTCCCTGCCAAAATTCTCTCTCTTGACCAATACAGAGTTCCAGGGGCCAAGAAGAGATTGCTGCTGCCACCGAGGGGGAGTATGTTGATGCTGAGGTCTCCCCAGTGGAACAAGCCCTCCTGGTAACTTGGAGAAATTAACAAGAGTTCATTGTTGCCGATCTTGGCTGAATTGTAAATTTACTTTTAGATTCCAATTTGATACTTTTGTTCAGTTGGTAGGCTTGAAACATGTTTGGAGTGCTGGGGTAGCTGTTAACTTGCTGTTCCACTTTCTGCTTGGGCTCTGCTCATGGCCACTTGGAGGTTTTTGACTGCCAGCCCTAATTAGACAAACTCACTCTGACACCAAAGTGAAAAAGTGTAGTAGGGACGTTTTTAAAATCCAAGCTGCTACTGGGTAAGCAGGATAGTGGAAAAATATAAAGTTACAAATAGAAAGAGATATTTTTGGTGTGAGAGAATTCTGTACGGTAAGGTTTTGTCTACCCGGGTTTAAAAAAAAAGGAAAGATAGTGGCAAAACTAGGAGGTCCAAGCATGTCGAAAAAAGGCTTGAAGAGGGTGAAATTTCTCAAAGAAACGTGCAGTTTACTGCCAGCACTGCCAGTAATGTAGGTCAAGCCAGACACAGGAGAAGAACTGTGGACAGACGTTTGGGAGTTGGCACGCATCACTAACCTGCCAGCTTACCGTGTGGATGCATGCTTGCCACTGGAAACTCCAGAGTGTAAGCACAGTGCCCACGAAGATCAGCTGGCAAAAGTAGCTGGCATTGCTGAGATCACTGAAGGCAAGGAAGGAGAAGTCGGGGAACAGTTCTTGACCACATGGGTGCATCACCATTCAGGCCGTTTGGGAGCGCAAGCTGTGCACAGGTCGGGGTGGGGTCATGCCTGGAAAGCAGCGTCACCCTTGTCTGCACTGAGAAAAATCAGAGCGGAATGCGATATTTGTCAAAAAGAAAATAGCCGCATATTATAATCCTAATATTATTCCTGGAGAACTGTGCTCAGAACTCCTGGCCCAAATTTGGCAGGTTGATCATGTTGGGTCTTTACCCATCAGCAGGGGATGCCAATTTGTTTGCACCCCTGTAACTACTTATTCTGGGGTGTTAGTGGCCACCCAAAGCAACACAGGCTGAACTTTAGATACCATTAGTTTGTATTATGGTCACCCTTTATAGATTCGAAGTGACAGTGGCTCCCATTTCAAAGGAAAGAAAACCACAAGGTATTGTACTTTAAATAACATTGAGTGGATATATCATATCCCATATTACCCTCAGGTGACTGGATTAATTGAAAGAATGAATGGATTATTGAAAGAACAATGGATGAAACTGGGAAATAATACATGTGGCTAGAGGGAGATTAATTTATTTACTGCCCTAAAAATTTGAATACTAGACCCTTGGGACTCACCTCTTGTTCAGGTGGGAGAGGGAGAAAGTACCCTTTTAGCCAAAATGATGGCTTCTAACTTACAGAGCAGAAGATGAGTAGATACAGAAAAAACTAAGATGGTGGTGCATTGACCCCGGCCCATACTCCTTATCAGGAGACTGTGGGTTCCAAGGGCAGTGATTTATTTTGCCTCCAGGAGATTTAGATAAATCTAGGAGAATTGAAGTCTGTGCACAGGGGCTGTCATGTTCAAACTCCAATGAAATATTTTGGGCATTATTACCGTGAGGAAGTTTAGCAAATGTCATGGATCCAAATATTGGGGGGATAATAGATTCAGATTACTCGGGGGTAGTGTTAACCTTGATGCAAAGTTTAGGAAAAGAACCAGTTAAGTTGGCTGCAGATGATCAAGTGGCACAGATGATTTTTATCCCATTCAGACAAGGAGCTTGGTAGCAGTCACCCACCCACCTGGCACGACCACTTGAATTAGAGGGGAGTTTACATCAGCCAGTAGGGAGCGGGAGCCAAAGTATGGGTCAAGAAGCAGCCACAAGGGAAGCCAAAGGCCCCCAAAGAATCGCTGAAGAAAGTACTACTGTGCTGATAATTTATAAAGACGATTATGAAATGATGCCAACTCATAAACTGCGTCTTTGTGAATAAGTGTCCTGCCGGATCATCTTTCTCCAGTCTACCAACTGCTCGGACTCCTGGGACGCCTCTCTCTCTGACTAATGTCACCACTGTTCATCTTCACGTCACTGCCCCCTCTGGCCGACACCATTTAGCACTGCTGGATGTGACAACTCCCCTGAGTGCAACCTGCATGACACTGCAGTCATTGGCAGCCATCGCACACACTGGAGCAGGGCTACCGTGACGTGGTTGGAGAGGCATTTTGTAACTGGACGTAATAGTGGTGGTTTATTATGTAGCTACAGATAATGCTACTTACATTTTTTCTGATTGTTTATCTCATCATAGGAGATTGATCTGTAGGTTGTTGACTTGGCAGATGGAGCTCTGTTTGCTCAACAGATAATCTCTGTGCCACTTGCCTGTTGTTCTGGATGGATAAAAAATTGGAATTTCTCCCCCACTGGGAAGGAGCTGATTTTCCTTTCTCCTGGCCAACAGGGTGCTGTGGTCTTGACTTGATGCTCATCCCTTGCCTGCACCCAGCTTATGTGTTTCCTTACAACCCTTTACTTGTATATTAACTCAGAGTCCCAGAGTTCAACAAATTCTTGTAAATAATCAACATCTACTCGATGAATATAAGATGAGGACATGTATAATGCTAATCAATTGACAGATATTTCACCTGGTAACCACTGAGATGAATCATCCTTGGTTTGATTTATTTTTAAAATCTGCAACCTTGCCACATGACTTTTCTGCTTTGGTGAATCCATGGCCTGTATGTGCCATGACTTTGATACTGTTAAATCGCTGCAGTGTGTGTATGTTTTCTGAAATGAGAAACACTCCACCAAATCGACCGTCAGACTGTTCACCGCCGATCACGTGAGCCTGTCAGATCTGAATGCCAAATGAAGTACAGAGAGATCCCCTTCATTCATCACTCAGTGCTGTGGTTTTTGTTTTGAAGATTAGATGTTGGGGCGCCTTGACACGGGCAGAAACCCTCTCGTGGGCCTGGCCCGCTCCCTGGTCTCTTGCTTACCTATCTAGGAGATGCAGATGTTCATTCTTTGGGGAACTTGACCCGTTCTTGGGGGCCACAAACTCCCTGCCTCTGGTGATGCATGCAGCTGGGACACTGCCACTTTTTCCTCAACCGCTCCTTAAGTGGCAGGGGGACTCTGGAGGCTCATCTGTGGAGAGGATGCGTTCTCAGCTGGACCCTTCCCAGCCAGAACCCTGGACACCATCCAGCAAGACACCCTGGCATCAGAATTGCAGTTTTAGGTGCTGAAGCTCTTCTGATCCAGCAATGTAACTTTCTTTCCATACTTTCTCTTTCTTCTGTGTAACAGCATAAGTGTCAATGAACAGTTTATTATGCTTTGTTTTCTTGCTTTTATCTTGGTGTTAAAAGCCAGTGTTGTTGGTGAATCTGAACCTCGAAATGAAGCAGCAACAAACTGTATTCTTTCTAAGCCTGTGCAACTTCATGTAAATTCCAGCTAGGAGGAAAGAGGCATTGAAGAATGGTGCATCCCCTCCCCTTAAGAACAGTTTCCAGGAAATGCGCACGCCACTTCTGCTTACATATCAAAGTTCTCAAAATTCAGTCACGGCCACAGCTCGCTGCCAGGGAGGCTGCAAATGTTGCTACCCCAGAAGTCACCTAAATATCAATTTCTGACAAAGAGGGATGATCCAGGAGCAAACTGGCATTCTGGTTTATACGCAGATGTCCCCCCATGGTGTTGCCCTCTTCAGTGGATTAGCCCACTGATGAGTTTATAGCTGGGGGTGATGCTGGGAGGTGGAACCTGGCAGGAAGAGGTGGATCACTGTGGGTGTGGCCGGGAAGAGTCTGTCTCCCTCCTCCTCCCTTGATCCCTCTCTGCTTCCTGTCCACCATGCCATGAGCTGTTTCTCCTCCGCCAGGCCCCTCTGCTATGCCTCCCTGCCTTAGAGCCAGCTGACTATGGACTGAAACCTCCACAACTGTGAACCAAAATAAATCTCTCCTCCTGTGACCTGTGGGTGTTGGGTATTTTGTCCCAGCAGTGACAAAAGTAACTGAGACAACTGACCACCTTTGATATAACTCTAACCTCTGAAAGAAGTGCTTCACTGTTGTTATTTCAATTCTTTCAATATATATATATATTTTTGGTCTTTTTTTGAGACAGGGTCTCTCTATGCAGTTCAGGCCAGCCGTGAGCTCACTTTGTAGCCCGGGCTGGTCTCGAACTCACAGCAGTTCTGCCTCAGCCTCCCGAGTGCTGGGATTACAGGCGTGTGCCACTATGCCCAGCTACCAGTTCTTTTAAATTAGATTCCCGAGTTTTATGGTTGAGATGCTGGATTTTAGTCAAGTGTGGTGGTGCATGTCTATAATCACAGAACTCTGGGAGGCTGAGGCAGGAACGAAAGTTTGAGTTTAGTCTGGCAATTTGGAGAGTTAATGAGACCCTGTCTTAAAAAATTAAAAAGGGCTGGGGAGTGTAGAAGGCCCTAGATTCAGTGCGAAGGCCCTAGATTCAATCCCCAACAGAAGAGTTGGCTATGCTCTCTCTCTGCTGCTAACTCCATGTGTGCGACTGTGGTTAAGGTACTTGACTCGTAGGGCAGGTGGAGTAATTAAGCTCCATCCCTGGCACATGTGCGGAACACAGTCTGTGGTGGTGTTCCTTGTTAATTTTGTCCTTTTAGATTTCCCTGTTGAGAAAGCTGATACTGTAAAACATGGCTAACAGAAGAGGCCCTGTCCGTTTAGCTGTGGGATGCATGCCCTGCAGGCTGTACTTACCCCACTGCTCAAAGGGGAGCTTCCCTTTCTTCCTCATTGTGAGGGCTGGGGACCAGTCAGGGCGGGCATCACGTACACAGAGTATGAATCCCGACCCTGGATTTGGGCGTGAGCATCCCTAGAGGGAGATGGGATGGAGGAACTGCAGGATCTTCAGTATCTTCCTGTTGTAAGTAAATCCGTGAAGTGTATTTTTCTCTCCTACTCAGGAAAACCACAAAGTCTCTGATGTGCCAAGTAACGGGTGCTGAGTCAGTTGGGTAACGAAGTGCCGATTATGTACCCCGGGCTTGGGGAGTCTGGGTCTTTTTCAAGTTGCTTGTGGGACCACTTGCAATGTCTTCAGCATTGAAAAAACTGTTTCGTAGAATAGATGTTCGTTGAGTGCCTGCTTGCTGGTAGGCACTGCATTGAGGCCAGAAGGTTCTGATGTCTTGGGGCAGAGACAGAAACACGAGAAAAGAACCCAAGAAATGAGAAGATTCCTCAGAAAGGGGAGTCATGGGATCACCTGTAAGCTTGAGAATCTTGATGCCTTCATCTTTCTTCGGCATGCTCAAGACAAACCACTCAGTGGAGGAATTTCTGTTAACAAAAGCATAGTCACACATCTGTGATCCCAGCACCAGGAGGCTGAGGCAGGAGGATTGCCATGAGTTTGAGGCCAGCCTGGGGTACACAGAGAGTTCAAGGCCAGCCTGAACTACATAGGGAGACCTAGTCTCAAAAACCAAAAGCCAAAAAACACACAAAAAAGTAAAAGAAAATACAAGTGGATTTTAAAATAACACGGGAGGGATTTTTCTAAGCATTATAGAGCCCAGGAACCATTGGCAAAATAGCATTTAATTTAGTGATTTTCTTTTTTGGGTTTTTTTTTTTTTGATACCAGGAATCAACCTCAGGACCTTGCACTTGCCAGGCAGGCACTGTGCTGCTGAACTATATGCTGGCTCTATTGATTTTCTTAAATATATAAAGAGTTCTTATAAATCAGTGAGGAAAATGAACCAGCAGGGAACTTGGCAAGGAAAATAAAAAGCTGTCCTTAGAGAAAGACATACAAATTATTAATAGAAGAGCATTTGCTCATCTTCCCTCGGTCAAAGAAACTCACGCCAAAACAAGGAGATAAACAATGATCATTTATCAGATTGGCTGGGCTTTCAAAGCTTGATGACAGTGCTGTAAAGGATGCGAGGAAACAAGCAGTCATGCTCTGGAGGTTGGGGTATAAATAGGGACTTTTTAATGGGCAGGTTGAAAATAGCTCTCAGATTTTAAGAGCGCACAGTCTTTGATGCGGTGATTCTGTGTTTAATGTCTTCTTGCCTACAGGGATACTCCCAGGTACATGAAAAGTTACAGTAATAAATGACGGGAACACCCTAAAAATCTACCAAGGAGGGATGAATAAGATGCAGAGTGGTGAGGTGAGGCCTGGTGTGGGGTACCATGGAGCCCGTGAGGGGGCGAGGAGGGTTGTGTGCCAAGGGGGAGCAGGGGCTGTAGACACCGGAAGGCGGGGAGAGAGCGCAGGAAAGGCAGTGGTGCGCACGCACAGGAAGACGCAGGGGAGTATTTACAAATAGGAACATTCTGGAAAGAGAGATGTAAATAAAGATTTGGTACCAGTTACTTCTGAGCAGCAGACCCCTTCCTTCCGTTGTCTGGAATAAAGAGAGGGATTATTGCAGTTCTTATACTCTTTTGTAGTAGTCAAATATGTTTTCACTCTGGGGATGATTTTCATAATCCAGAATTGCTGAAAACAAAATCAAAAGAGAGACTTTCAGATCCCTTACATGGGCCTGCCTGGTGTAAGCTGTTAGCCGAGAATCCCTACATCAGCAGGGGAAGCTCCTGGTAAACTAGTCCAGTGAGCTTACCAGCCACACCTCACAGCACCTCTCCTGTTTGCCTCTGCCCTATCCACATTTTATGTTTTGATTTTTGTTTTGTTTTTTTTTGGGACAGGATCTTGATATGGCCTTGAACTCACCATGTAGCCCAGGCTAGAGTCGAACTTGGGGTGATCTTCCTGCCTCAGCCTCCTGAGGACAGGGATTACAGATGTGCGCCACCATGCCCGGCTTCTAACCATACTTAGGCAATTGCTTGAATGTGTCCCAGCCTGTGTCTTTATTCACCGGCTCTGTATGTGTGAACTGTGTCTTGCTCCTTCCTAGAGACCCATGAGGGCGGAGTCCGTGACCCTGTGTGAGGTCCGTCCAGGGTGTTCCAGGCCGTCCCAGCCTTGTTTGCAGAGCACTTTAACCTGAGGGAGGCCAGGCTTGTCACTGGGTCACTCTCCATCCAGCAGTACAGGAACGCCTGGAGCCCTCAGCAGTATGGCCTCACTCGTGTCCAGGTGCCCAGTGGATGGGACCTGTGTCCTGGGCACTTCCAGAGGGGTCCTGTGCGTGGGACCTGTGGCTCCAGCTTGCTCAGCGTGTCGTCATTCAGGGGAGGAGGGCAGGAGGGACGGGACTTCTGCTGACCACGCGGACCTGTGTGCCCATCACACAAATGACTGCGTGCAGGCAGAGCCCACTTGTGACCCCTCTGCCTGTGGACACCTGGACTTGTGGGCACTGCCCCAATGCAGGCCTGTCCTCTGGGGCAGCAGGGTGGGCCCGTTTCCTGGAACAGCCCGGGGCAGATGCTGATTAATGCTTGGCAGGGCCGGCGAGGAAATGGGAAACACGTGCCCGGCCGGACATGTTTCCAATCAGCCAACCAGCCTTCCCCGGAGCCTCGGGACTTCACTGAAACTGGTAGTGAAACTGGAAGCCAAGTGTAGCTCTGGACCAATTTGTGGTTCTACAACAATGATCCTTTTTGCTGATCCCTTCAACCACTTGGTGGAAATTACTATCGGAGTAAAATGTCTTAGTCATACTTTCCAGGGAGTTGAAATTTCTGAACGCATCCAGTGGATAAACATTATATCCTGCAGACTCCAGAGTCGTGGTCAGATGGTCTTGGAGTGGAACTGTACAGATTCACACTGACCAGAAATCGGAGGTGCTGAGAACTCTGTAACAAGGCCCGCAGAGGTGTAGGGAAAGGGTTCCGGCCTAAGCTTAGGAAGGTCCACATTTCCAACATAATGCGTCCTGCAGCGAACCCACCATCTTCTCTGGAAGACTCAGATGAAAGTATCAGCAGTGACTCAGTTGGTGAAACTAGAAATTCTGGAGTCATCCCCCATTCTCCCCTTCGGGAATCCCCATCCATACTTAATCGGGTCCAGGAGAACCTGAGCGTCTCACGCGTCCTGCATCCTGGGTCTCCATTGTCACTCATAGTCCTTTCTTTGTGGCCGGCCTTCCCCACCTCTTGGCGGGTTGTTCTGGTGGCTTTTCCTGTCCCCCAGCCCCCATATTCCCTGCCCTTCAGAGAGGTTACTCAGAACGCAAATATGAGCATGCCACTCCCTGGCTTAAAACTCCATCACCCTCAGGATGGGTACTCGCTTCTTAAGCAAGACCTAAGACCTTCTTCCATGGAGCACTGGGCGCCATGTTTGGCAGACAGGGTATCAGAGACCTCTAAGGAGGACCTGCGTCTACTCATCTGCAGACATCGACGTTACAAAGAAAGAGGTCTGGCCTTCGGTAGCCTGGAGATTCTGAAAGCTGTGGTTTTGGCTGAATGAAGATAAGTGACCGATTTCCTAGGGCTCCGCCTGTTGAAGTGCATTCTGTGAAGGCAGACTTAAAACAAAAAGCAAATATGGGCAAATATAGGACAGTGTGTAATAAGGAGCATGAAGCCAGCGTTTTTAACGTATTTATGTACCCACCCATGTATTCCTTTATTTCGTAGGTATCTATTGGACATCTAGACAAAGGGGTCACCAAGTGACTTGGTAAAGTTCCTGCCCTCAAGGGGACGCGGATCAGCAGGCGGCCGTCAGACGCCAGCAGGACAGCGCTGCAGGAACGCACCAGCGGCTAGTGCCGTCCCGGGAGGCAGGAGAAGAGATGTTTAGGTGTGAAACAGACGAGAACGTGGCTTCTCTGGGAAGTTCGATCAGCAGAGACCATGGGCAGAGGGCAGAAGGAGGACCAACGAGCCATCATGTGACGCGGACAGGGTGGGATGGCGTTGCTGCCAGGGTTAGGACAGAGGCCGCCGAGGGAGTGATGGGAGTGCTGCAGACGTAAGGACCTGAGGCACTGATCTGAAGGCTGATGGTGCGCGGGTCCTGGAGTTTGGGCCGTCCTCACCAGTGAAGGGAAGTCTCATCGACCTTTGGCCTTCGAGGAGCAAGGCAGGAGCCGCTGTTTCGCTTTGCTCACAGCTGCATCAGTGGATTTGGTGGACGCGATTTTGACTCAGGGAGGAATTAGGTGCTTTTTTGTTCGTAGCAGCGGTATTGAGGTATAATAATCACTATTCAAAACCACACGTATTTAATTCCACAATTTGTTCTGTGCAGACATACACAGTGACTTGTGAAACCAGAACTC